TGACCACTTGCCCACTTGCCTACCTTCTAGAAGGTCTACAGCTAAGCTTCCGGAACTCACTAAGACTCCTACGCTATAGACCTACAGATTGAACCCCTGCTGCCTATGGACCTACGACAGGCCAACCAACTGCCTACGAATACACAGGTCACAGGTTCAATTCCCGGGGTCTACACAGATACTGTACATGGGTAGGGTGACGTCTAGGGATCGAACCCTGGGTACTGCATCCGCTACTGCTAAAAGGTGAAAACCGTTTCATAATTTTTATTTTTATTTTATTTTTTTGGGCTCGGCCGAGCAAGTGGTCCTGGGCCACACTGGTAGCCTAGGACGAAGCTCAAGTTTCCAGAGTTTTTCCGCTATGTCTCTACTGATTCACAGACGAAAAAAGACGACGGAAGCAAGAGAATCTGTCCCATCGGCAGCTTAAGGACCGAAAGGAAAAGCTGTGAGTAGGTAGTAGCTACACAGAAAATGCAGAATAAATGAGGGCAGAATGGGGAGAAAACTCTGCAAAAGGGGTGAACTCTGAAAATGAGGAGCATGATGTGGCTTCACTCCCCCGTCCAGTTAACTGCAGGCGCTACAGGCTGAACAAATAGGTTCAGCGCCTTCAGGCCCTTGAGAGAGAAAAGGGGTCGTCCGGTCGACTTCACTCACACACCAGTTACACCGTAGATTTCAAATTTCAAACGCTGACAAAAAGGCTTAAACCGCCAGTACACGGTAACCCTGTACAATTGAAGGGGGTCACTAACTGGTGTGTGAGTAAAGTCGACAAGACGACCCCTTTTCTCTCTCAAGGGCATTGAGCCCTAGTTACCCCAAAAACAATGGAAGATGACCTTCAGGGCTTAAGCACCTAGCGTCTTCACCCAAATAGAACGCCCGGTAATTATCGCCGTATCTGGGCTGAAAGTTGTGCCAAATACAGCTATAATGACCGGGCGTTATATTCAGGTGACAACGGTAAGTTTAAAGACGACATTTCAAGGCCGTTGCCCTTTTTTCAAAAAAAAAAAAGAAAAAGAAGAAGGGAAAAAAAAAAAACGCCCACAGTGCCCCACACGACTCCACAGCAGTTCTTTTTTTCTTTTTGGCGCACAGGGGAAGTCCCCCTCAGCAAAAAGGGGCTCAGAGGTACTGCGGGTTTAAATCCTGTTTTACCTCGAATCCAACCATGAGTATTGATAACAAGTGGAATAGCCTCACTCTTTCTCAAACCACCACTTGTTCCGTGAGACGCGCAGATGACCTCCCGGAAATGCCTGTAAAGGGCAAAGATGTAATACAGGTACCTAATGGGATCTCCAGAAGGAGACACATCTCCATAGAAGTAGAACCTGCAGAAAGACAAACACACACACACACACACACACACACACACACACACACACACACACACACACACACACACACACACAGTGAGTAAAGCTGACTATGTCTCTCAAGGATGTCATTGACTTTGGGAGAGGTGGCCTGTTTGGACTTCGAAGTCACAAGTCAAATCCATCCTGAACAGACTCATAAAAGTCTCATAAAAGCACGACAACAAAGCGAAGCTGAGTTAGGCATATGCAACAACAGCACACACACACACACACACACACACACACACACACACACACACACACACACACACACACACACACACACACACACACACACACACACACACACACACACACACACACACACACACACACACACACACACACACGTCTCTTATACACATCTAGATGTGTATAAGAGACAGCACACACACACACACACACACACACACACACACACACACACACACACACGCACCCCCCCACCCCCACCCACACGCCCCCCCATGGCGCCCCCCCCCCCCCGACACACACACACATTTTGCTTCCATACGTACGATGACAGTCAGTACTGTACTCATGTACGGCACCCCGGCATGTCATGTCCAATTTGTAGACAGGGGCTGGAACGGCAATGCCTCTATAATTGCGGTCGATGTGCCCCTCTGTGTTCCTAGCATGTACGAGCCACGTAGCCTGTGACATCTGTCTCCGCCGTGCCATTCGATGCAGCAACTGTGACTGCGAAAACTGGATGCGGTGCTTCCATAGCCCACACCCGAACCGGTCCTGTCCGGTCTGTAGGGGTGGCCACTCACAGCGGTGAATATTTAGAAATCTGTGAGACCCGGCATACACCTTTCCCCTGCTCTTGCATGTCACTCTATCCTGCCCTCCACATATTTCTTTCCTTCCCGTTGCCCCTACCTTCCCTGCCCCATACTCCTAGAGAACTCCGCCTTCTATCCCTTACCCTCCACCCTCCCCTCCACTCCCTTTGTACTACTAACAAATACATACGAATGAGCATCGTTAAGAGTATAGACGATAGGAAGATCAGAAATGAAATGAACGGAAGTATGAAGATGAAGGACGGACACAAAGGCTGTATAAGCTGAAGATCTGAAATAAAATGGACAGGAGTATGAAGCTCTGAAGAGATGCACAGGAGCATACCTTCCCTTTTACTCTGCCTCCTGAAATAACGTGCAAGTGGGCCGTGGAGGCACACGGGGATGTGGGCGGCTGCCGCTCAACCACAATCAACGTGGGCAGCCTTGCGCGTAAGAGGCACCGTAAAAGGGGAGCGGCAAGAACAATGAAAGGGGTACGCGAAGAACAACCAAAAAACTGTCTAATTATAAAATTGCTTTAATATGTTGGACATCTCAAATGCTCTCGTTGTCTGCAATAGGATAAAGACTGCTTTGATTCTGAATCTATTCACCTGGGTGGAATTGTGAAACGGTATTCACCAGTTAGCAGTAGCTGCTGCAGATCCCAGGGTTCGATCCCTAGACCCCAACCTTACCTGTGTACAGTACCTGTGTCGGCCTGTAGAGTTGAACCCGTGACCTGTGTATTTGTAACAGCTGATAGGTTGTCGTAGAGTCCATAGGTAGCATGGGTTCGATCTGTAGACCTGTCGGATAGGAGTCTTAGTCAGGTCTAGACACCGTAGCTGTAGTGTTCTCGAAAGGTCAAGGTTGTCGCTGCTACAATCCAGAAGGGTCAGAGTTGTAGCTGCTACAGTCACGAAAGGCCAAGTCTACGGCCTTCTGGAAGGTCCCGGTAGTGGCCTTTCGTGAGTTGCCCACGTTTAAGCAGAGGCAAGTGGTCAAGTGGTGAGGCAAGTGGGCAAGTGGGGGAAGTCTACCCTGCTGAGTCAACAGTCCCAGTCCCCAGTCAGTCAAGCAAGTACCGCACGGGACTGTGTGCACTTCAGGCCAGGGAAATGGGCCAGACCAACGGCCTACAGAAGTATAAATCAAGAGGCAGCGCCCAGCCATTCATTCATTCATGCGGAAGCCATGCGGAAGCGCTGTCTCAGCGTCTTGTGCAAGGAGGTCTGCTGGAAGCCCGAAGCAGAAGTGGGCGAGGGAGACGAAGTACAGTCATAGCGATAGGTTAGAGGCAGCCATAGCTTCCATAGCTGTAGTCAGTGGGAAGTGTGTTATAAGCTTCCCCCACAACAACCCCTATTCCAACCAGATGAGTAGAACCGGACTGAGTCCGCCCAACACTTAAAAAAAAAAAAAAAAAATCTTTAACAGGCAGCACGAATCATAATAGAACCATTTTGAACCGTGTTTAGCTAGGGTTTCTTTGGGGCAACAGCTCCTCTTTCAATTTGCCTCGCACGTACAAGGCTGCCCACGTTGATGGTGGTTGAGCGGCAGCTGCCCACATCCCCGTGTGCCTTAACGGCCCACTTGCACGTTATAATAAGAGGTAAAGGGGAAGGTATGCTCCTGTGCACTTCACTTCAGATCTTCATACTCCTGTTCATTTCCCTTCAGATCTCCAGCTGTTCATTTCACTTCAGATCTTCAGCATATGCTTAGTCTTTGTGTCTGTCGTTCGTCTTCCATACTCCTGTTCATTTCTCTTCAAATCTTCAACTTATACTTTGTCTGTACTCTTACTGATGCTCATTCGTATGTATTTCCTAGTTGCACATAAGGAGAGGGCGGAGGGAAAGGGACAGGAGGTAAGTTTGTCAGGACGTGAGGAAGGGGGAAAGCAGAGTGCAAGGGTAGGGCAGGCGAGAGGTATATGATGGGCTTCACAGAATTCTAAACGCTCACCGCTGGAATAGCACACGAGGTTCATTGGTGTTTGGGTTGCACAAGATTTTGAGTCAAGGAGCCGTTATTGCCTATGGTAAGTGACCATCCCTACAGACCGGACATGACCGGTTCGGGTGTGGACTGTGGAAGCACCGCATCCAGGTTTCGCAGTCACAGTTGCTGCATCGAATGGCACGGCGCAGACAGATGTCACAGGCAACGTGGCTCCTACATGCTAGGARCACRGAGGCAYRTYGACCASAATTATAGAGGCACTGCCGTTCTAGCCCCTGTCTACAAATTGGACATGACATGTCAGGGTGCCGTACATGAGTACAGTGCTGACTGTCGTCGTAGGTATGAAAGCAGAAACTCGCATGGACTATTCCTTCATAATCCTCATGGCACAAAGCATGTGAACCACACGCTAGTTGAATCTCCGGCGGGTCATCACATAGCGGCATAAAGCATGTTTCTTGGGTTTCCTCAGCATTTATTCCTTCTGTATGGGCAGACGACGACAGGGAGGGTCGGTCCAAAGCAAGGGCGTTCAGCTGCTGCAGGATTTGGTCCACAACAGCTCGCCTTGATGGTGATAAGCGATCAGTACCCCACTCTGCAGGTGGTTCATATAGAGGCCCACTTTCCTCCTCGGGCTGCTGTGTGTGTCGCACGTCTGGCAAGGAAGAGGAAGAACCCTCTGCGGTTGCCGTAGGTGTATGACCAACACCGCATGTGGGACATGCTAGGAGAGGATGTGGTGGGTGATGGCACCGGGGAAGACACATACTTTCTACGACTGCTTCCTGGAAGCACTGACGACACATGGCATGTTGCTGACATGTCATCAGTATGGAAGAATGACGTGCACAGTTATTTAAGCATGGCAGATCAAGGCCACAACGGCATGCTGGGCAAGTAATCAGGGGGTGGGGGGGATGAGCACAAGACAAGGGATCACAATTTTCGTGGGAGAGGCTGTGTGTGTGTTGCGTGAGTGTTCAGAGTGATGCGTATGGGATATCCAGGGTGATCCAGTGTGTGAACAGTGAGTTGTTTGCTAAGTCGCCATAGCCAGTTGAAAGTAAACTCGTATCTGGAAGCCATATCTCTGAGTTCTGTGTGGGTGCATGTCGCCAGTGTGCTGTGCTGCTGTTTACACACATGAAAAGTGTGAATAAGACGAGTCTGATTGCAATTGGGGCTGTTGTGGGGAAAATCTAAAACACACACACACACACTCAGCACGCACCCATGCATGCACGCACCGACACACGCACACCTGCAATCAGTGAGATGCATATCAAGCTACAAATTTATGATGGGTCTGTAAAGGAATGACAAAGCAGAGGTGCAATGACTTACTGATTCGACTTCTGTGTTCTGACTGCCAGGCTGTATAATACAGCTAGGGACAGCTAGGGTTAGATTTGTAATTTTGTTTTCTCTGAGGACTAAACTGCGATTTCAGTCTTTAGGAAATTAGTGAGGGACATATCTGTAAATTTGGGAAATCTACAGTCCTACCCTAACTCGAATTTCCTATGCTATCCTAACCATGAATAGCAGACCCGGGCTACCACGAGAATAGACAGGCCTACGGGCCTATGCTAGTAGACGGTCCTATAGCCTATCGCCGGGTAGGAAGAGGCCCTAGAGGCCGAAACTGAAACGGTACTGGTCAGTCCAGTCCTAGGTCTAGGTTAGTCTATTAACAGGACGGAGGTAGTGGAGCTGGGACTTTTTGGCATTTCATTTCGTCGGACGCGGGAGTTGAGCCAAGGAAGCAAGGAAGGTGACGATTGACTCGAGGCGGCATCCTGAGTCCCTCGTCAGGGAAGACAGCCATAGCCAAACCTCTGGGGCCCGCCATAGCTGGGGCGCCCTCCGCACACTCAACCCTGAGGGTGCTTGTGATTGTCTGGGCTATCAAGAAGCTCTACACAACTGTTTGTGGGTGGAACGCTGCTGCTGCTACTTCGTCAGAGTTCGCTGTGTGGCAGAGACAGTGGCGCTGCAGCCATAGCTGCAGCTTTTGACGCAAGAGACTCTTCATCTCCATCAGGAACTTGAGCACTGGTCTCCTTCTTCATCATTCTGGTTGGCGCAGGCCTCTGTGAGGCGGCTTCAGTACAGTGCTACTAATAGAGTGTAGGAGTTGGGGGTAGAGTGTGGGTTTCAGTGGTGGGGTAACATTGGGAGAGAACTCTGTAATCTTCAGTGTTGTTATTGGCTCAAGCTTGGTTACGTTCTGTTGTGATCCTGGAAGTGTCTTCTTGTGACTGGTTGTTGGGAGTATCGTCAGAGAGGGAAACACTGTGTGTTGTCGTCACACTCTGTGCATAATTGCTTTCCGCTGCTTACTCTGTCTGTTTGCAGTGTGTAATCTGTCTCCTCTCCCCTTCTTCTTATGCGCGTATGGGTATGTGTGACATTGGCTGAGTGTGAGTGTTGATTGAAATCGACAGCCAACCAAATTCATAACAGAGGTGTATTTTTGACGAATGCAACGTGAAGAAGCACAGCATTACAGCATCACATACAGATGACTCCCGTCGCCAACGTTGCATCCGTCGCCCATTACGATAAACCAACCCCCCAAGACAAGCACCCCCCAAAGGAAACTGCAATAAATGTGCTACCCAAGACATTCATGTTACCATCCAGTTCTGCCTATTCAACATGGAGCGGTGACAGACTGTTTCCCTGGGATATCACTGATTCATTGGGAGGCTGAACCCTCAACAGTCTGCAGAGTCCCCTAGCGAATGATCCAGTATTTCCACGTGATAAACCACCTTAACCCTGCTTCCACGTGTTGCAAAAGCAGATCGGAAAGAGGAAGGACGTGTTTTTTGCAGCAGAAGTGGAAAGTCTTTGAGAAAATTCTGAAGGTACGCATAGAAAGAAAGAAGACAGTACACTATGCATTGAGATATGCCTCTGATCCGGACGATGGGGAGAGGGAGAGAGAGAGAGAGAGAGAGAGAGAGAGAGAGAGAGAGAGAGAGAGAGAGAGAGAGAGAGAGAGAGAGAAGGGGGGGGAAGTGGGCACAGAGAGAGAGAGAGAGAGAACACAACAAGAAAGAGCACAACGCAGATGCTTATTGACACTACAAGGAAGAACACTAGCAAAGAACATGGACCAATGCAGACAATGCACAGCGACAATGAAAATTGATAGAAGGTACAACAAGTTAACAGCAAAATAGAACCTTCAGCCCATTCGCAAATTGAATGAGAGAGAGAGAGAGAGAGAGAGAGAGAGAGAGAGAGAGAGAGAGAGAGAGAGAGAGAGAGAGAGTCTCAGAGAGAGAGAGAGGGTCAATAAGCACAGTGCAGGAATCTGCTGTGTGAGGCATTCAGGTGCAGTGACAGGCATATACCTCTCTGGTTTGCGAAGATGCATGTATGGAGGCCCTGCAGATGCACAACCAAACAGGCATGCAAGGGTCAAGCTCATCTTCACAAGGCGGAAGCTGCTGCCACAAGTGAAAATGGTGAATGTGTTCTATTTTTTTTTCAAGTCATAGTAATTCGCAAACTGCATAAAAAGCTTTCAGATGGGCAGGCCAAGCCAGCCCTCATTTCTTAGGGGTCATCTCACGAAACCAATGGTCTCAAGAGTTTGAGAAAATCAAACCAAGAAATGAACAAAAATAAACAAAGCAAAATGGTTACATTACCATGCCAAACAAACAAAGGCACCCCACTGAATCAAATGGGGAAAAATGAAAAAAGAAAAAAGAAAAGAAAAGGGGAAGTAAATCAAGCGATGTTTTTTTTTTTTTTTT